ACAGACTGTTTGACAAGCATGTTTTTTGTTTTTCTTTTTATGACAATGCAGTCATATACTCTGCTTACTTTATGCTTTGACAGAGTGGTTGCTATATGTTTTCCTCTGAGGTATCATGCTATTGTCACCAAAACCACAATGATTCTGATCATTGGTGTTATGTGGCTTGTTTCTGCATTTCTCGTTACTGTCCGTGTAGCTCTGATTGCCAGACTGTCCTTCTGCAAATCTACCATAGTTTACAGTTATTTCTGTGATCATGGCCCTATCTTCAGACTAGCTTGTAATGATAATTCTCCTAATTACATGATGGCCTATGTCAATGTTGCTATTGTTCTTTGCCTTCCATTGATGCTAATAGCTCTCTCATATGTTTGTATTGGTTTTGCTCTGTGTAAGATCTCACATGGTGCTGAGCGAATCAAGGCTATGAAAACCTGCACTTCCCACATCATTTTAGTGGCCATGTTTTATCTACCAATCATTAGCGTTTATATCAGTGCTCTTACAACATACATTGATCCAAATACTAGAATAATCAACTCTGTCTTAACACAAACAATTCCGCCAATGCTAAACCCCATCATATATGCTCTGAAGACAGAGGAGGTATTGCAGTCTATTAAAGTACTCTACAAACGAGTCAAGGTGAACTTTGCACTGGAAGATCCTGTGAAAAGCATTTTGAAGAATTAAAATAAACCAAAAATGAACATAAAAACCAAAGTTTGGCTTACTGTAATAAAACAGAACTGTTGAACCTATTTTCTCATTGAGTTAAACTTAAACGCTCACTTCAGGCTTCCATTACAATTACTTTTTAAAATTATTATCAAAATAGGCCCATGACATATTTGTTTAGCATTCAGATATATATTTGAATAAAGAATTTTTGAATTAAGGTCTATACACGACTTAAATATTCATAAAAACGTTCTAAAAAGTGTTTTAAACCAGCATGGATGTTGTTGAGGTTCACAGTTATTTTCATCAATACAAACAGATGAAAACAATATAAACATAGTAGGAGCAGGAGAAGAAATGTACAGTAAAAACTGTAGCAAGATCTATATTTTAAAGTTTAACATATACTTGCTCATGCTCTTTGAAAGACAACTTTTAAGATGTGGAAAAAAGAAAATTCAGACCTTCTATGGCATCTTTTATCTCGTCAAAAAAGAGCTTATTTTCCAGATTTGTTATTGTATGTCAATGACCACCACTCTCACTGGTAATCACAAATAAGGTGGGTAGTGTATGTAGGGATTGTGCACATTGTGTGGTAGAAGAGAGACCAGCAATGGCTGCTGCAGAGTACGGTGTGTTTGCTTTATAAATTCACTTCATAAATAGCCTTTGGTTACCCAGTTACCATCAATAAGATAATATTCAAGTCTGCAAACATGGGATTTCTATGGGATTTTAATGGTGTTTTTGCTCCAAACCACTGACGGTGTATATTCACATTTAATCTCAGCTGTCTAACTTTGATGCTTGTAACAGACATTCAAGGAACATGTTCTTTATTTTGACTGTTGTGGTTTGGATGACTCCTTTCTTTTTTTTGATGTAGCATGTAAAATTTCAGAATGTAGAGTTCAGTCCCTAGTCTGTACAGTCTATATATGAAAATAAAACCACACAAACAGCCTGTTGTAACTTTTTTTCACTGTTTTTGTGATGTCATGAAAACCAATTTGCTTGTGTCTACATTCTTGCCCATTGCCCATGAGCCTTGCCCATTCACAATGAAGTAATAAAGAGTGTTTTAGCCAAGACTGATTTTTAAATGAGGTACAAAACAGGGTAGCTAGTCAGCGACCATTTACATAGGTCAGTCCTAAAGACACATTAAGAAAAATAGCCTCTTTAATTGTAAGTGATAAAAAGAAGTTGGAAAGCAGCCATGTCTCTCAGATAGAAGATACATTCATTAATTAATTAATTCATTCATTCATTCATCATTTTTAACCACTTAATTCAGATAGGGTTGCAGTAGCAGTTGGGAGGACAGAGAATTTCAGACAGCCCTGTCCCCCGCAAATTCCTCCAGCTCATTGCAGAGACTTAAGCCTGTCTGGGCGAATCTCATCCACCTCTGGTACCTTGCCACTGAGGAGCTGGCCAACTACCTCAGTGAACTTCACCAGGGAAGTGGAGTCTGACATGCCAGAAGCCTCTGGCCCTGACTCCTTTGAGGGAGGCTTGTCTCTTGGGTTAAGGAGTTCCTCAAAGTGCTCCTTCCACTGACCGACAATATCCTCATTTGATGTCAGAGTTTCTCCACCCCAGCTGAGCACCAAAGCAAAGTCACCTCGACCGCTCCTGAGTCACCGGTTAGTTGTCCAGAACCTCCTTGAAGTCAACCAAAAGTCTTTTTCTGTGGCCTTGCCAAACTCCTCCTACACTCTGGATTTGGTTTCAGCCACTGCTGCCACTGCTGCCACTGCTGACTTTTTTTGGTACCTATCAGCTGAGTCTGGAGTCTTCTGGGCCTTCCAGTCCCTAAAGGCCTCCTTCTTCAGTTTGACAGTTACTGCCATGACAGGCACCTACAAGCTTTTGGCCACAGCTACACCTGGCAGCTTCTACAATGGAGGTTTTGAACAGGGTCCATTCAGACTCCATGTCCCTTACCTCCTCCGGAACATGAGAAAAGCTCTCCCTGAGGTGGTCATTCCCAGCACACCCTCAATATTCACTTGGTCTGACCACCATTCTTCCCTGCCATCTGATCCAACTCAAGACCAGATGGTGATTGGTTGACAGCTCAGCACCTCTCTTCACCCAAGTGTCCAGAACATATGCTCCCGAGTCAGAAGAAACGACAACAAAGTTGATTGTTGAATTTTGACCCAAGGAGCTCTGGTCTCACATACACTTATGAACATCCTTGTGTTTACACTTGGTGTTCGTTATGGATAATCCATGCCTAGCGCAGAAGTACAATAACAGTTCACCATTCAAGTTTAGATCAGGCAGGCTGTTCTTCCCAATCACCCCCCTCAAGGTCTCCCAGTCATTGCCAACATGAGCATTGAAGTCTCCTAACAAGACTATGGAGTCTGTAGGCAGAGCCTTTTCCAGAACCCTGCCCACTCTCTCCAAGAAGGCCAAATAATCTGAACTGTTGTTTGGTGTATAAGCACACACAACAGTCAGATTTTTTCTTCCCAGCAATTTTACTATGCATTGAGGCGACTCTCTCATCCATCAGGACAAACTCCAACTGCACAGCAGCCAGCAGGGGACTTATGAGTATCCCCACACCTACCCAGCGCCTTTCACCCTGTGCAACTCCTGATTATGAGAGGGACCAACCCCATCAAGGAGTTTGGTTCCAGAGCCGACACTGTGGGTGGAGGTGAGCCCAAGTATATCTAGTTCGTACCTCTCCGCCTTCCGCACAAGCTCCGGTTCCTCCACCCACTGAGGTTACATTCCACATACCAAGAGCCAGTTTCCGCAGCAGGGGTCCATGCCGCTAAGGACCTCCCTGCCACCTCCCACCACCTATATGGCACTGCACCGGTCCCCCATGCTGGACCTTGCGGGCGGTGGGCCCACATGGTCACCCCACAGGTTGAGCTGGCTCCAAGGGTTGGTCCCGTTAACCCTCTACTAGGCAGGGTACACAATCTCTTGTGTCCCTTAGTCATGGAGGATTTTGGATCATGTTAGTCTGGGTCTTCACTCCAGACCTGTTCATCTTGGATCTTCACTCCAGACCTGTTCGTCTTGGGAGACCCTACCAGGACCCTACCACACTGCTCCAGACGACTTAACTATAAGATCCTCCACACAAGCCACGGCAAGGCCCCGATCCACCAAAGGATAGAAGATACAGTACAATAAAAATGTAGAATATGGTCCTTTAAAGCTTTTATCTGAAGATTTAAAGGACCCATATTGTACATTTTTGAGAATGTAGAATGTGGCTGTGAAATGCTGGTTAGCTGACTCTTATAAAGACAGACTACAGTCCAATTAGCTCACAGAGAGTCTGTTAACAAAGAGAGACAACCAAATCGTTAAAGTGTTATGTGAGATCACATCACCATTTTACACTGTCCTGTCCGTCAGAGATGAAGGTGAAAATATGAGTGGGAGTGTTTATTCCACTAGGGCATTTATGACATTTGACATAAATGGTTTCAACTGAAGGCCTCGGTCTAATAGTCACAGTTTGCCAGTGTAAACAAACCATGATATGCCCAATCAAAAGTTATTTTGGACAGTGATACAGTTGTCATCTTTAACTCATTCAAATCTGCCTCCACAGTATCAGTGATACATCCATGTCTACATTGGCTAAAGTAAAATAGATCACCATGTGGAATTGCAGCTTTCTGTGTTTTCTACCTCTATAGAAAAGAAGCATGATGCTGCTTTTTTTTTAATGGAAAGCTTCAGAGTGAGCGCACATCAGAATTTAGATAGGCAAATATTTATTATTGATTGGTGTCATGAGAATAACGATCAAGGCCACTAAAGTGTAAAGTATACTCCTTTTCACATGTTTTCTTAACCAAAAAAAAATAGTTTGTGACAAGTATAATAATTCTCTGAGATCAAAATGAATAAAATGAGCAAAAAATTACAGACTTGTATTTTTTATTTCTGAGAAATCACTGGGCCTTCTTTGAAAGCTTAGAAAGCCCAGAGGGTTCTGTATCTGTTACAATGAATACGATTGGATTGGTGATGATATACACTTATAGAATATAACATCCTGTATGATTGTTTATATTCACAATATCACAATGGCATACAACCTTGCCTATAGAGACTTGTGCTTTTTTTTTGAAGTGTGCTTTTGGGGATGACGTAAACATAAGTGAGTTATAAATGCGTTTGATTTCTTTTGAAATTGCACTCCTAAAGGTTTTGTCTTGCTGCAAAAGGTATTGTATCAAACCACCCTGTAGATAGGTTTTTAACATCTTGTACTGTTGTTTCATATGTGTTCTTCCTTTTTTTAAGACCACTCTCCTTCTGACATGACTTCTGTGGTGTCCCTTGACAATGCAACATTCATTCGCCCCCCCGCATTTTACATCAGTGGATTATCCAACGTGCCTCATTCAAAGTATTACTATATGTTTTTGTGTTTTGTGTACGCTGTGACTGTTTTAGGAAATTCTTTTATAATGGGCACTATATACCTGGCACGCACTCTGCACACAGCTAAGTATATAGCTGTCTTCAACTTAGCCTTGTCTGATCTGTGTGGAAGCTCTGCTCTTATTCCAAAGTATGCAGACATGTTTCTGTTAGAGAACCAGTACATATCTTATGAAGACTGTCTGACAAGCTTGTTTTTTGTTTTTCTTTTTATGAGCTTGCAGTCCTTTACTCTGCTTGCTTTGGCCTTTGACAGAGTAATTGCTATATGTTTTCCTCTGAGGTATCATGCTATTGTGACTAAAAGCACAATGACTCTGATCATTGGCGTTTTGTGGCTTTTTGCAGTCACTATCATTACCCTCATGGTTTCTCTCATTACCAGACTGTCCTTCTGTAGATCTATCACAGTTGGCAGTTATTTCTGTGATCATGGCCCTGTCTTCAAACTAGCCTGTAATGATAATACTCCTAATTTCATGATGGCCTATGCTTATATTGCTTTTGTTCTTTGCATTCCATTGTTGCTAATAGCTATCTCATATGTTTGTATTGGTGTTGCATTGCTTAAAATCTCACAGGGTGCAGAGCGAATTAAAGCTATGAAAACCTGCACTTCCCACCTCATATTGGTGGGCATGTTTTATTTACCAATTTTTAGCATTTATATGTCTACTCTTACAACACAAGTACATCCGAATACTAGAATAATTAACTCAGTGTTAGCACAAGCAATTCCTCCTATGTTAAACCCCATCATATATACTCTGAAGACAGAAGAGGTATTGCAGTCTATTAAAGTACTCTACAAGCGAACTAAGGTGAACTTTGCAATGGAAGATCCTTTAAAAAGCATGGCAAAGCATTAAAATGATATTTTCACTGTAGTTTAGCTTACTGAACTTTTTCTCTGAGTTCAAAGACTGAAAAGCTTCCCTTCAGACCGGCATTAAATTTGTTATTGTTATTAAAATAGGCCCATGATTGTAGTCTAATGTACTGCAAATGAATGATCATGAAAAGAGTAAGAACATTTATTTGTTCAGCATTTGTTTAGCATTCAGGCATATATTTGAATCAAGAACTTTTGGATAAATGACTATACACTGCTTAAATATTTATAAAAATGTTCTAAAAACTATTTTGAACCCACATGTTTGTTGTTTGGGTTTACAGCCATTATTTTCATAAGTACAGATGAAATATAAACATAGCTGGGGGCAGGCGAGGAAACATACATAAAAAAAACTATAGACAAATCTACATTTTTCAAGATTAAAAAAAAGATAATTTAATAATAATTCAGCTGTTTTGTGGAATGTTCTACCCAGTTATTTACTGCTCTAAAAAAGGTCATTTTCTGGGATTGTTGTTGTTGTAAACTGCATCATTGTTCTTTAGGCTCACATTTATGTAGCCATTGTTTTCATCAGTACAAACAGATAAAACACAAACATAGCAGAGTAAGGTGACAATATTTTTTTAAATATTTGTGTTTCAGCTATTGAAGAAACACACATAAAACAATGGAAAAATATGTATATCTTTCCATTTATTATTTACTTCCCAAGACGTTTGAACGAAATCTGTTAAAATTCCGAAAGAAATAAAGAAACAGTTGTTTGTTTTATCCTGTCATGGTCATTGGTTCATCATGGATTGTGGTGTATATTCACATTTTATCTCAACTCTCTTCCTAAATCACAGATATTTAATGCTTGTAGCAGACACTGACATTATATATATATATATATATATATATATATATATGTAATAATCACAGCCCGGCTAACAAAAAGAGATGGCGGTGAATGTATGATTGGTAGTGTTTATTCAACTAGGGCAGAAAGTCTGGTTGGCTTTTTTCACATTTTTGACATTTGACATTTATGGCTTAAATGAAGGCCTAGCTTTAACAGTCACAGTTTGCCACTGTAACCACAGAACCATGAGGAACAAGAAAAGCCCGTTCAAATATAATGTCTCACCGGTGATACATTTCTCTCCTTTCAATGATTAAATCTGCCTTATTGTAGCTATGATGTGTCCGTGTCCACCTTAGTGGACCTATTAAAATAAATGTGGAATTGCAGCTTTCTGTGTTTTTTACAACCAGCGTTTGGAGGGTTACTTTAAATATGTATCCTGTTACAGATTACTGATTACCTGTTCTCTCTCTCTCTCTCTCTCTCTCTCTCTCACACACACACGCACACATACTTTCTAAACCGCTTATTCTTCTGGGTCATGAGGGATCCTATATCAGCAGTCATTGGGCGGAAGGCAGGATACACCCTGGACAGGTTGCCAGTCCATCGCAGTGCGGACAGACAGACATATACACGCACACATACTCATACCTACGGACATTTTAGCATGTCCAATTAGCCTGACTGCATGTTTTTGGACTGTGGGAGGAAACCCATGACAGACACGGGGAGAACATGCAAACTTTGGCCACCCAGCCAGGAACCAAACCCAGGCCCTTCTCACTGTGAGGCGACCCATCGCGCCACTACTAAACAGGCCATTACCTGTTTAAAAAAGTAATGTTAAATAATATTAAATTTAATATTAAAATAATGTAATCTGATTACTTTCTGTTTGGACTACTTGTCTTTAATTAAAGACATAAAATTAAATAAATAAAAAAAAATTCAAATTGTTTAACAAGAATTTGGTGACACTTTATTTTAAGTGGTGCTTTTAGATGAAACAAACACCCAGCAGACTCTCAGTAACATGTCAAAAACATATGGGAGTTAGGATTAGGTTTTGGGTTGAGGTCAAGGGTAAGGTTAGGTTTAGGGCCAGGGTTAGGGTTAGGTTTTGGGTTGAGGTCAAGGGTAAGGTTAGGTTTAGGGCCAGGGTTAGGGTTAGGTTTTGGGTTGAGGTCAAGGGTAAGGTTAGGTTTAGGGCCAGGGTTAGGGTTAGGTTTTGGGGAAGGTTGGGTAAAGTTAGGTCTTGTGTGATGGAAGTAACATATTAACAATACATCTACTCAATGTAAGTAAAGTATCAACAGAACATCTACAAGATATTTACTTCAAAACTATACTGCTCTTCTAGGACTATTTCTTATTTGCCTTATTTTACTTTAAAAAAATGTTGTCCATCATGCCAAAGTCAAAAGATCTTGTAGAAATCTTATTTTGAGAACAACAGTAATAATAATATAGGTAATTCTAAAAACACTAATTGGCCGTCATGTGTGTTCTATCTGCTAAAAGACTGCATGGCTAATCAGGGCTGTGTTCAGCCCCAAAACAACACAGAGCAAAACGTCTATTGAAACAGAAATGCTGGTGTGTTGAACACTCTCTTGTGTTCATGGCAGCTGAGATGGCCATTCTTGGTGTACTTTTCAAAGAATTTTGGAGCCTGATGAAATGAGATTAAATGGGTTTAATACTTCAAAATACATCTTCTATTGTCTTCAATAGTTGCGTACACCAAGCTGCAGCAACTGAATTTGTAGAGGACTTTATTAGATTCCACATTGTGCAATGTATGTTTAATACAGATGGGTTTACATACATGTTGCTGCTGATTGGGTAATACGTCTGACTCACCCATCAAACTATAGAAAATGTACCTAAAAGTCTGTTGCTGTCTGCTACCACACTTCACGATGTTCAACCTGGAAACCACAGCAAAACGGTGTGCAAAGACTGAATGTGCCCCAGGTTTCGTTTGGGTGCATCATGCTTGGACTTTGATGATCAGAATTTGTAGGAGCTCCCTAATAGTAATTGGAGTAATGCTCCGGTGATGCGGTTTATGACAAAATCTGATCGAAATTGTTTCGAAAAGGGCAGTGGATCGAAATAGGCCATAGATTGAAATGGATCGAGACAGGCCATGAGAACCAAAATAATGTTGAGAATTTTATAATCATTTTTGTGTTCATTTGAACAATTAAATACATTTCTTACATTACTATATCTTAAATTAAAATATAAATATATTCAATTCAAGTCACTAAGACTAGTTCTACATTTTTGGCTAATCATAGACACAAGGAGGTGGTCATAACGTTACGCCTGATCGGTGTATGTTTCTTTATTTAACTCTGCAGTGAAAATGTATGTCTGGTGTGTGCTCATGAATAAATGATAAAAAATTAACTCTATGCTATCTAGCTAATTAAGAAGTTATTGGAGTGGGAACATATTAAATAGAATGTAACAAATAGAATGTAAAAAAAAAAAAATACCAGCACCAGAATAGCTTTAGTAGCAAACAAGTTTGCCAATATCAACAACAATGACATTAGGAGCATATAGTTTGCCAGTATTTAGTAATGAATATGTAGAGGTACACACTATCTCATTAGTTAGCTATTTCATCACATGATCAACGAAAATGTTCTGCTTTCTTAATACTTAAATACTTAATACTTAAATAACTCTCAAATAAGAATCAGGTTTGGTGCAAAATCCTATTGTATCAGTGCGACACTGCCAGCGCTAGCCACCTGGAAGTAAGTTCTTTGTTGTGACATAACACTGCTTTCTCCTATAGTGTGTGTCAGGATGAAGGCTGCAGTGGACTTTACATTAAGGGTCGCTAATCAATCATTAAATATATAATAATCAACTATTAGTTTCCCATTATTTAGTTATTAGTTAACTCTTCATTAAGCATTAGCTATTACTTAGTAATTGATTAAGCACTTATCAATTAGTAATTAAGTACACTGTTAGTTGATAAGTTAGTTTGTTGTTAGTTTGTGGCTTACTTACTCGTTATCTGTGTGCTAATTGCTGCTTATTACATTGTTAATTAATAAGTATTTTTCTTCATATAAAGAAGTAATGTGATAACTTACTAGCACTTATGTGTTAATCCCGCTAATTGTCTGTTAATTAACTCTCCATCACCTCCATATATTCAGTTGCTTCACTTTTCTCACTTTGGTTCTTGTTCATTATAGATGCTTATGGTCACATCTGACCGTAAGATGAGCGCACACAAATTCACTGACTGTTTTGTTATTCATCACGTTCATCTTGGCATATCTGTACTCATATCTGGTAGGAGTGCATGTAAATTTGGGCATAAATGCTGGATATGTGGCTAATTAACCAAAACTATTATCAACATAATCTGTAATTGCAACAATAAGAACAACAATAGAAAATTTCAATAATACTAATTTGTGTGCAGGACAGTCCAGTACAAAAGTGGATGTACTTACTTTACATGCACTTTGATATAAACAAGTGCTGCAACTATTTCATGTTCCATTTAAAGACACATTACACTGTGCTTTTGTTTCATACTACTGACTCACAAACACAGCTTTGGTCATACACTGCAATAATACAGCGTTTATTTTAGGGAATTAATTACACTAAACAATCACTCTACTATGTTAACAACACTGAGTATTTTGTTTTATTTTAAGTTTGGTCAGCAGGGGAGGAGTGCACCCACTGCTGGACATCAAACTCCACCCACGAGCACGGCCACATTTCCACATTGTACAAAATTGTTATGAATCAGATGCAGAGCAGTTCATACCTTATAAAAGGCAAAAAAGGTGTTCTTTTTTTACGTAACTTGGATGATTAATGGGCCCTTTTCACAAGATTCGTGATTACTTCCGGTTTAAGCATTAGCAGGGTAAAACTCACTTCCTCTCCATAAAGCTACTGCAGACGAGATGTCAAAATGTTTAGTAGTGAACTGTAACGCTCAAACTCTGAGCTACAACAGCTGTATTTTAGTTTTCCTGCGCGGTTGTGACAGTGAGAGTAAGAAGTGGACGGAAGCTCTGATTTAACTGTAAACAGAGCTAAAATGCTGTATGTTGTTTTTACTGCAGTTCTGCTGCAGCTGCTTCACATCAGGCAGCCTCTGTGTCTTTGTACAACACGCCAGCGATTTCGGTAATTTTCTGTTTTCAAAAGAAAGAAGAACTTTTATATGTAGCATGAATGTTGTAGACTCTGTTTATATTAAGCTAGCTAGCTAACCTATACTGGCTAGAAGCTACTGCTAACCAAACTAGCCCGGCTAACATGAAGCAGCTTTTTCAGATGTTTTTTCCAGCTAGGATTCTCGTTTTTGACTGAGCAATGAAAGGTGGATGTTTTCTGAAGTGCTGCTTCAAAAATTGCCATGAAACTATAAGAATAATGCTGTTTGGCAGATCGCTAACATAGCTAGCGTTAGAGCTAACTTAGCTTTAAAGTTTGCTAGCTACTCATACGAAGCTGGTGCTCCTCAAACTGCTAATGGTAGGCTAGCTAATTAGCGACTGTAGCCTGCTAGCCTACCATAAGCTAATACAGTTTAAACGAGGTCTGTAAAATAGACTTTACATATAAAAGTTTTTGTTTGTGTTTGTCACAAGTCACTGCCATCATGTAGCTAAATGTGTCACAGAACCTGCTCCACGTTAGCCGGCTGGTGGCAGCAGCTGATGAAAGCTAACTAGCTTCCTTATTTTGGGAATACAGTGATGTGAGCAGCTGCAGCAGCAGTAAGCAGGGCTACACCACACACAGCATTTTAGCTGTGTTTAAAGTTAAATCAGTGCTTCCATTCACTTCCTTTTGTCATGATAGTGCACGACAACTAACATATGTCTGTTGTAGCTCAGTATTTGAGCATTATAGTTCACTGCTAATGCTTAATCCGGACGTAATCGCAACTCTTTGTGAAAAGGGCCCATGGCCATTAGATCTTTACATTTTGACAATTAATTACTTCTTAAATTCCTCTTACTTAAGCATTAATTACTGCTTTTGTGTTGTCACTACTTGGAGGGACACAAAAGCAGTAATTAATGGTTAAGTAAGAGGAATTTAAGAAGTAATTAATGGTTGATTAAGTAGAATTTAAGAAGTAATTAATGGTCAAAATGTAAAGATCTAATGGCCATTAATCATCAAAGTTATGTAAAAAAAAAGCCTTTTATACGGTATGAACTGCTCTGCGTCTGATTCATAACAATTTTGTATGATGTGGAAACAAGTGGAGATTTGAGCATAAATGATAAATCAGCTTCAGTGCATGAAACCAGCCTACCAGCACCTCATTTACATATCATTTACATGAAGCACACCCTAATTCATGCAGATGTTTCAGTAGCCAGCCAATAAAACGACAGTGTTTGTCATGAAAGCTAATGGCCGTGCTCGTGGGTGGAGTTTGATGTCCAGCAGTGGGTGCACTCCTCCCCTGCTGACCAAACTTAAAATAAAACAAAATACTCAGTGTTGTTAACATAGTAGAGTGATTGTTTAGTGTAATTAATTCCCTAAAATAAACGCTGTATTATTGCAGTGTATGACCGAAGCTGTGTTTGTGAGTCAGTAGTATGAAACAAAAGCACAGTGTAATGTGTCTTTAAATGGAACATGAAATAGTTGCAGCACTTGTTTATATCAAAGTGCATGTAAAGTAAGTACATCCACTTTTGTACTGGACTGTCCTGCACACAAATTAGTATTATTGAAATTTTCTATTGTTGTTCTTATTGTTGCAATTACAGATTATGTTGATAATAGTTTTGGTTAATTAGCCACATATCCAGCATTTATGCCCAAATTTACATGCACTCCTACCAGATATGAGTACAGATATGCCAAGATGAATGTGATGAATAACAAAACCGTCCATGAATTTGTGTGCGCTCATCTTACGGTCAGATGTGACCATAAGCATCTTTAATGAACAAGAACCAAAGTGAGAAAAGTGAAGCAACTGAATATATGGAGGTGATGGAGAGTTAATTAACAGACAATTAGCGGGATTAACACATAAGTGCTAGTAAGTTATCACGTTACTTCTTTATATGAAGAAAAATACTTATTAGTTAATTAACAATGTAATAAGCAGCAATTAGCACACAGATAATGAGTAAGTAAGCCACAAACTAACGACAAACTAACTTATCAACTAACAGTGTACTTAATTACTAATTGATAAGTGCTTAATCAATTACTAAGTAATAGCTAATGCTTAATGAAGAGTTAACTAATAACTAAATAATGGGAAACTAATAGTTGATTATTATATATTTAATGATTGATTAGCGACCCTTAATGTAAAGTGTTACCATTAAATCTTCAGTTAAAAAGATCACAAGTAACTTAAATTTGTGTAAAAAAAAATAAATAAAAGATCTCTCTTCATTTGGACTTTTCCAAAAAGGTCATGGTAAAAGGAAAACAACTAAAGATACATCTACACTGCCTTTGAATGCTGGACAGGGTTACTGGCAGGCAGCAATTATGCAAACAGTAAATCTGGACATGTCTAAGTGCCTTTCTTCCAAACACTGATGGACAAGGATGCATGAGTTACATTGCAGACACAGCTGTGTTAATTCTGCATTCTGTCCTGATTTATCATTTATTGTACAGATTAATTAGAGAATCCATTACTGCATTTTTATTTCACTGCAAATGTATCATATTTAAGGATACAACCCTGTCTATAGAGGTTTGTGTTTGTAGTTTTTTTGCCGGTGTGCTTTTGAGGATGACGTAAACATAGGTCAGGTATAAATGTGTTTGATCTTTTCTGAAATTCTGCTCTAGAAGGTTTTGTTCTGCTACAGTAGGTATTGTATCAAACCATTGTGGATCAGTTTTTAACATCTTGTACTGTTGTTTCATATGTGTTGATTAGTTTTGATTGTCATTTGCTATTTATTTAGATTCTATTGATTTATTTAGAATGTTATTATCATTTTTATTTGCATTTGTGTTTTGATGATTTGTAGTGTGATGAACTGTTTGAAGGTTCTATAACTTTTTCTTACATTTTATTTAAGACCAGTCTCCTGACATGAGTACCGTGGTGTCCTTTGAGAATACTACATTCGTTCGCCCCCCAACATTTTACATTAATGGATTGTACAACATGCCACATGCAAAGTATTACTATATGTTTTTGTGTTTTGTGTACGCTGTGACTGTTTTAGGGAATTCTTTTATAATGGGTACTATTTGCCTGGCACGTACTCTGCACACAGCAAAGTATATAGCTGTCTTCAACTTGGCCTTGTCTGATCTCTTTGGAAGCTCTGCTCTCATTCCTAAGTATGCAGCAATGTTTCTTCTTGAGAACCAGTACATATCTTATGAAGACTGTATGACAAACCTGTTTTTTGTTTTTGTTTTTATGACCATGCAGTCATATACTCTGCTTGCTTTGGCCTTTGACAGAGTAATTGCTATATGTTTTCCTCTGAGGTATCATGCTATTGTCACTAAAGCCACAATGACTCTGATCATTGGTGTTATGTGGCTTATCTCTGTGGCTATTATGGTTGTTACTCTAGCTCTGCTTACCAGATTGTCCTTCTGTAGATCTACCACAGTTGGCAGTTATTTTTGTGATAATGGCCCTATCTTCAGACTAGCCTGTAATGATAATTCCCCTAATTTCATAATGGCCTATGTCTATGTTGCTATTGTGCTTTGCCTTCCGTTAACATTAATAGCTATCTCATATGTTTGTATTGGTGTTGCTCTGTGTAAGATCTCACATGGTGCTGAGCGAATCAAGGCTATGAAAACCTGCACTTCCCACCTCATATTAGTGGCAATGTTTTATCTACCAATTTTCAGCGTTTATATATCTGCTCTTACAACGCACATACATCCAAACACTAGAATAATCAACTCGGTCCTGACACAAACAATTCCACCCATGTTAAACCCCATCATATATTCTCTGAAGACAGAGGAGGTATTGCAGTCTATTAAATTACTCTACAAACGAATCAAGGAGAATTTTGCAATGGAAGATCCATTGGTAAGCATTGCAAAAAATTAGTATGAAATAATTGTAATTTGGCCTGCTGACAAAAAGAAACGAATTTTCTATTTTTTTTTCACTGAACTATAAGGCTCAAATGTATCTCTTCAGGCTGCCATTGTAATTACTTTTTTGTTATTAAAATAGACCCATGATTGTAGTTTAATCTACTGCATACTACTTGTTTGGTTAGCATTTAGAAATATATTTGATGAATGAACATTTGAATAACAAATACACTATACAGAGCCTAAATATTTATAAAATTATTCAAAAGAAGGTTTTGAACACCTATGTTTGTTCTTCAGGTATAGATTTTTTAGACATACAAAGAGATGAAACATAAAAATGTAAGGTGCAGTTAACAATGAAAGAAACAAACATAAAACGAGAAAATTATGTATTTTTTCAGTTAAATATAGTTTCCCATGCTCTTTGAAAGAGCTTCTTTTTTAAGAGTACAAAAAACCTTGATTCAGCTTTTGTATGGTGTATTTCACCCTGTCATCATGTCATGGTGGTGTATATTCACATTTTGTCTCAGCTTTCTACCTTAATCACAGACATTTAATACTTGTTGCAGATATTAAAGTACCATATTCTTTACTTGAATGTAGCAAGTTGGACGTTGACTCCTTTGTTAAAAATTTCCACGGTCAATATTATGTAGAATTGAATTTTCCTTATTTTTTTTTAATAGAAAAAGGTTGATATGGTGTGTAAACATTATTAAAATTTCAAAATGTAGCACTCACTCCTCAATACATATAGTCCATATATTCAACCAAAGCTGCTAACCAATGTGTTTACATATATATTTGATTGTGATACAGTTTAGGGCAGCAAATCAAAACAGAGACAATTTACACATATAAGTCTTAAAGATGCAGTGACAAAATAGTGTGCATAATTGAAAATTGGCCATGTAAAAATGAATTCTTTTTTAGTATATAAAACCATACAAATGTATCAAGTATCTTTCATGGGAAAAATAAAATACAAGTAAAATGTACAATATGGGCCCTTTAAACCCCTTTAAACAGATTTCAGATTGATCAGTCAAGGCCAATATAGTGTGAAATATATTTTTATTCATGTGTGTTTCAATCAAACAGTTTATGACAATAAGCAAGATCATTCTATCAGATAAAAGCGAACTACAAAATAACACTTGTGTTTCTTAGTTTTCAGAAATCATTGAACCTTTTGTGAAGAAAACAAATACCATAAAAGGCCCATCACTGTATCTTTTACTGTATCTTTTTTTTTTTAATTTTGTCAGAAACCACATCACCTATGGTGTGTCAGGATGATTGCAACAGTGGCCTTTCCTTACTGCAAATAAAATCTTTACTTAAAATGACAATAAATAACTTACATTTTTACAGAAACTCCATTTGGGCTTTTTTTCTCTTTATCGAATTGGTGCTAACACAAAGGATTATAGGAAATGAAAAGCTGCAAAATATAATCTTCATTGTCTTCCAATTTCAGCCAAACATGGCCATTTGTTTAATCTGAACCATACATTAGCACAGCTGGTATGAAGATCATGGTACATGGACAACGCCTTTTTTTCCAGGACACAGACTTCAGACAATCATCAGCATAGAGGTTGTGCAGTATCAACTACTTCTTTCTGGAAATAGCCTTGGTGGTTCATCAGAGGAACCTAAGTAAGTCTTCCAGAGGCACTTTCACTTGGTGAAACATAGCTTCCGCCTCAGCCATGAGTGCAAATCTTTCTTGTCAAAATCCAGTGATCATGCCTAGTATTGTGATAGAAAGGTCTGACCCCAGTAGCAGCTGATCATTCTAGGATATACCTTGAAAAGAGGCCCAACAGTCGAACACCACACAGACATTCTGTTTCCTTGGGTTGTGCACCCCGTGATGTGTATACAATACATTCCTGTCACTGTGGTTTGTGTCTTCATTTGGTATCTTCACAGTAAACCTTTTGGAGATTGTCACCATGAATGTGATGTAATCCGAGTAAAAAAATCTGCTCTTCATGAACTTCATTTTAAGATTAAGAGCTCACTGTTTCACAACGTGTCAGTTGTTAGGTATCCTAACTGCTCTATTCCTTAAAGGCAGTCCAATGCTTTAATGCCCATCCACTAGTTTAAAGTCTGTCTTTGCTGCTGTCTGTTCTGTCTTCCACCCCATGTTCAAATGTTTTGAGGAATATCATGTTCCTTTGAAAATGAGTTTCTCCAGCGACGACAGGGTGATCAACCTCTGTTTCTTTCACCAACAGTGCTGTGACAGCAAGCAGTGTTCCTGTTCTGCCCTCTTTATCTTTGATGGCACTGTTAGAAGCCTTCTTGCTGCTATAATGTGAGTGCTGGTCAGCTTTCACAGAAGTACGTAGGGCATGAAAAGTTGACTCACCTTGGATTAGAGTTTACCTAGCACCCTTTTTAACTTTGGAAATGTGGAAAAGTTGTGCGACCATTGTACTTTGGAATTAGACGCTGCTAGCGCTATTCGTAGTTAAATTTCTTCCTCTTGGTCCTTTAACTGAGCTTTCTGTCTCTCCCTCGCTTGCCTTTTTTTTAAAGTAGCCACTTTTGCAGTGCAGTTCTTCAGCCTTCAGTTTTGTAGATGATGAGATGAGGGCAGAACACCGTCACCAATTCCTCCTCTGTATTTCAACATGCCCACATGCTACCATGGATGCGCCATCTGCTGGAAGTAGCTCTGTTGCACCATGGCTTCTCTCTGTTGACAGACTTCTTTCCTCCACATCTGCATTGTTCTTTGAAATCTGTGAACTTTGCAACTTTTGCAATAATATTCAAATAATCGTTCATATTGTAATCATTAATCATCTAAACTTTGCTCTGCATGTGGTGACATACAGCCTCCTTTACATCCTTCAGGTGTAGGTTTATCCTGCTGTTCACTGTTATTCCCTTTTTCTAACTCTCCATCCAGGTTAACTGCTTTCAGTTAGCTTAACATTAGAACAATAATAATGATTGTGTTTAAAACAATTATAACTTATACAGTTATACACAATTTCCTCTAGCTGACCCAGCTGATTATGGTACTGTAATACTTCATAGGTCATCATAGTTAGGTATGGTATTTTGTATCACATTATGCACAAATACTGTTAAAAGTTTAGAATTATTTGTTATGCCAATATATGTTTTTTGCAATTACATTTATTAATAACTTATATAATGTAGATTGAACATTCAAGTACTTTAGGAACAACAAGAAATTATTATATAATAAATAATATTTAACAAATTCCTATTGTAAATATTTCTGCTTCATGATTTGAGAGCTACTTTTGAAGTAGACATTTTGGATATTCATTTAATTATAACCTCTTTCACAGCTTTTGTACAGATTGTACAGCTTTCTTTTTTTTAAAATCATCTTTAGAATTGTGTTTTTTAATTGTGTAATTCTGTACATTAAATGTTAGCAATTTAAATTTTGAGAGAATCTCTTACTGCATTGTAATGCACTGTGTGTATGCATTGTCTATGATTTCTGAAAATCTGCTCCAGAAGATTTTGTCCTTTGGCAAAAGGTATTGTATCAAACCAATGCAGATCAGTTTTTGACATCCTGTAGTCTTGTTTCATATGTATTGATTAATTTTACAGATACTGTCATTTCCATTCTCTTAATCATTTTTATTTGCACTTGCGTTTTGATGATTTGTACTTTAATGGCATCCTTGGCATCCCTTGACAAAGCAACATTACATTAACATTTAGTTGTTCATCACCCCACATTTTCCATCAGTGGATTGTCCAACATGTCAAATACAGCGTTACTATATGTTTTTATGTTTTGTGTACGCTGTGACTGTTTCATGGAATTCTTTTTTAATGGGCACTATATACCTGGTATTGGTTTTTGTATAAGTATAGCTGTGTAAGTATAGGTTTTTGTTTGTTTGTTTGTTTCTCATTATGATCATGCAGTCCTTTATTCGGTGTGCTTTGTGTTTTGACAGAGTAATTGCTATATGTTTTCCTCTGAGGTATCATGCTATTCTCACTAAAAGCCACAATGACTCTGATCATTGGTGTTATGTGGCTTTACTCTGTGATTATATTGATGTTGTGCTTTGTTTTCCATTGATGCTAATAGCTGTCTCATATGTTTATCGGTTGCGTATTGCTTAAGATCTCACATGGAACTGTGTAAATTAAGTGAATTAGCGCCTTTTTTTGCTGAATACTGCTGCTGTAGGAAGCTTGTGATCTCCAGACACATATGTGATAATCCTGCATTCTGTCCTGAATTATCATTTGTTATACAAATTTAATTAATGAGAGAACCCATTATTACATTTTTAAAATTTGCCATAAATGTATTCCAGTTCAGCACATAACCTTAAAGATTTTGGTTGTTTTGGAGGGTTACACAGGCACGTGTTTTATACAAGTTACAAATTCTTTTATCTCTATGTCTGTTGCCAGAATGTCCTTCTGTAGCTCTACCACAGTTTACAGCTATTTCTGTGATCATCTACAGACTAGCCTGTAATGATAATTCTCCTAATTCCATATTAGCTAATGTCTATATTGTATTGGTTTTGCATTGCTTAAGATCTAACATGGTTCTAAGTGAATTAAAGGTATGAATACCTGCACCTGCAGAGCTCTAGATATTGTTGACTGGCGCACCATCACTCCGGTCTAAGCCCCTGAACTCTGTAGCTCCTGTGATTGGTGGCCTCTCTGTGACTTTCCTCATGAGTCCCCTTCTTACTCTGATACTGAGTTTTGAGAGATAGGTTGTCTAGGCAATGCCTGTGTGTTATGCAGCTCCCATTTCCTCACAATTTGTCCAACAGTTCCCACTGGGATAACCAAACACTATTTTAACTTTTTTATAATAACCTCATTCTTAATGGTGTACAGCTTTCTCAATAAGAATTATCTACAGCTATTCATCATTCTGGACACATCTAATTTTTCAGCTTTCTGCACATTATTTGAAATCTATGAAGTATATTACTATAGTCATATTAGAATGATTACACCTGCAACATTCTTCTTCCTTTTCTTTTTCTTCTTCTTCTTCTTCTTCTTATTATTATTATTATTTAAAATATATAAAGTACATACAATTATATAAAACTGTGTGTGGTCTGGATTTTGCATTTTGCATTTACTTCCTAAGATTTTACCTGCATTTCCATTCTAAGTCCCAGTCCCACCCTGTTGGGTGCCATTCTGCCTCCAAACATTGTTACATTGCATCATAATCCTGCATTCTGTTCTGATTTATTGTTTATTATGCCAATTTAATGTATAAAATAATCCATTACTGCATTTTTTAAATCACTGCAAATGTATTCTATTAACATGTCTGTGGAGAGTTGAGGGTTGTTGTTTTTTTGTTTTGTTTTTTTTTTGGAGGTGTGCCTTCATGGATGACATAAACATGAGTTATAAATATGTTTGTCATCTCCTGAAAATCATTTCCAAAAGGTTCTGTTCTGCTGCAAAAGGTACAGTATCAAACCACTGTATGTCAGGTTTTTTAACACCCTGTACTGATTTTTTCATGCGTTCACTAATTTTACATAGATTGTCATTTGCTATTGATTTACCATGTATGATATACATTTAACTTACTATTTTTATTTGCATATATGTTTTGGAGATTTACAGTGTTATGAACTGTTTGAAGGTTCTATAACTAATCTTTTTTATATTTTATTTAAGACCAGTCTGCTGACATGACTTCCATGGTGTCCCTTGACAATGCAACATTTATTCGCCCCTCTACATTTTACATCAATGGATTGTACAATGTGCCTCACGCAAAGTATTACTACACATTTTTGTGTTTTGTGTACGCTGTGACTGTTTTAGGGAATTCTTTTATAATGGGCACTATATACCTGGCACGTACTCTGCACACAGCAAAGTATATAGCTGTCTTCAACTTGGCCTTGTCTGATCTGTTTGGAAGCTCTGCTCTTATTCCAAAGTATGCAGATATGTTTCTGCGTGAGAACCAGTACATATCTTATGAAGACTGTCTGACAAGCATGTTTTTTGTTTTTCTCTTTATGATCATGCAGTCCTTTACTCTGCTTGCTTTGTCCTTTGACAGAGTAATTGCTATATGTTTTCCTCTGAGGTATCATGCTATTGTCAACAAAACCACAATGACTCTGATCATTGGTGTTATGTGGATCATCTCTGCAACGATTATGTCTGTTTCTATAGCTCTGGTTACCAGACTGTCCTTCTGTAGATCTACTACAGTTGGCAGTTACTTCTGTGATCATGGCCCAATCTTCAGACTAGCCTGTAATGATAATACTCCAAGTTACATAATGGTCTATGTCTTTATTGCTGTTGTGCTTTGCATTCCATTAACACTAATAGCTTTCTCATATGTTTGTATTGGCTTTGCACTGCTTAAGATCTCACAGGGTGCAGAGCGGATTAAAGCTATGAAAACCTGCACTTCCCACCTCATATTAGTGGGCATGTTTTATCTACCCATCTGCAGCATTTATATATCTGCTCTTACAACATATCTACATCCAAATACTAGAATAATCAACTCAGTCCTAACACAAGCAATTCCGCCTATGTTAAACCCCATTATATATTCTCTGAAGACAGAGGAGGTATTGCAGTCTATTAAATTACTCTATAAACGAATCAAGGTAAATTTTGCAACAGAAGAGCCCATGAAAAGCATAGCAAAGAATTAAATGATATAATAAATGTAGTTTGGCTTACTGTCATAAATCAAAGAATTCTGCAATGTTTTTTCACTCAGTAAAAAGATTTAAATGTGTTCCTTCAGGTTGACAATGTTATTACTTTTTCATTATCATTAAAATAGACCCACGATTGTAGTTTTTAACATTCAGGTATATATTTGAATAAATGCATTTTAAATAAATGTCTATGCACTGCTTAAATATTTATTAATATGTTCCAAAAAGTGTTGGACCCTCATGGTTGTTCTTCAGGTTTACAGTTATTTATCCATTATTTTCTGCAGGGGCAATTGCCATAGCAACAAAAACAGATAAACAACAACAGATTTTTTTTTTTTTTTATTTATTGTAGTTCCACATTCTCACTATGCTCATAAGTGAGTGTATGAGCATGTTGAGAAAAAAAGGAAAAATTTGATTCAGCCTTTGTATGGCATGTTTTACTCTGTCATAGTGTCACATTCATCTCGGCATTAAACCTGAATCACAGACATTTGATGCTTGTAACAGACATTCAAGTAACATATTCTTCTTTGAATGTTGCAGGTGATGATAACTTTTTCATTAACAATTTAAAAGACCCATATAATAAATACAGTTTTAAAGCTGTTTTTTTTAATGTTTGACGGTGTATGTAAATATTGTTGAAGTTTCTTAATGTAGCGTTCACTCCTCAGTTCATACAGTCCATGTATGCAAACATAGCTGCAAAAACTGCCCTTTTTGATTTCACTGTTTTTGTGACTTACTTAAACCAGTGCCTGTAAATATAGCTGCCTTTTATGTCTACAACAGATAAGACTCACAGATTCACACTGAACTAATAAGGAGTGTTTTAGCCTAGCCGGTTTTAATTGAGGCACAATAAAGAGCAGCCAGTTTGACCAGAGACCATTTCCCTATATCTGTCTTGAGGGCACAATAACAAAACATCCTCTTTAATTGTAAAAGGTTTAAAAATTATTATATTAAAACTATGGCTGTTTTTGGTAAATTAAACATGCAAAGTAATAAGTATCTATTAGGGGAAAAGCTACAATGCAAGAAAAATGTAGGCCTTTTAAAAGTTGTATTTGAAGATTGGTGGATCCTGTTAGCTATGTGCTAACCTGGTCAGCATACAATAATGAAGACACACCATTTAGCTCACAAAGAGCCTGTCACCAAAAACAGCTGGATCAGTTACTAATCAAGCAATTTAGTGATAGGTGACATCACTGTTTTACACTGTCCATCAGAAATGTCTGTATGTGAAAATTTAGCAGTGATGATGAATGTATGAGTATGTTTGGTTATTTGACTAGGATAGGACGTTTGGTCAATTTGTTTCACATTTGTAACATTTGACATTTATGGCGTGACCTGGAGGCCTAGTTTTAATAGTCACAGTTTGCCATTTTAACCAATCAGGAACGAGATAAGGCCTGTCAAACATCTTCTCACTGTAAATATATTCTTTCCATTTAATCACCATGTTTTGCAGCTCTCTGTATTATCTACCTCTATATGAGAGAAGCATGCTGCTGCATTGATTGCTTGATGCACTGGGTAAGCATCCAAGTGAGTGTACAAGCACATTCAAAACAGAATTTAGATAATGACAATAAAAGGCCACTAAAGTATGATGTATATCCCTTTTTATGTGTTTTGCTGATCAAAAATTTGTTCTTGACAATAAAAGTATTTTTTAGCTCTGGGAAATCATTAGACCTTCTCTGAAGAACTACAAAGCCCTAAAGGTTCACCGCTGCATCTGTAACTAAAATGTGATTGGTCATGATATATAATCTATAGAATATAACATCCTAGATGATTGTTTATACTTAATTGTTTATACTTAATCTCACAACAGAAACATATCTACATCCAAATACTACAGCATAGAATGTTGAATGTAAACTGTATCTGTCGCACTATGATTTATTACCACCTTTAATCTAACCCTGGCAGAATGAATTATTTGACCTTTGACCTCTAGGTCATTAACGAGATTTTGTCAAAAGCTGCATCTCCTATTGTGTGTGTCAGGATGCACGCTACAGTGGCCTTTTCCCATTAGAAAGGGGACACCAGCCCCCCTGCCCCTGTGTCCAAACCGTCCCACCTGGTGGAACATCTCACAACTAATTAGGTTAATTAGCATAAGGTCTGTAACATGACTGGGTATAAAAGAGCATCCCAGAGAGTCTGAGCCTTTCAGAAGTAAAGATGGGGAGAAGTTCACCACTCTGCGTAAATAGTGCAACAATTCAAGAATTACATTTCTGAACGTAAAATAGCAAAGAGCTTAAGGATTTCATCATCTACAGTACATAATATCATTAAAAGATTCAGAGAATTCAGAGAAATCTCTGTATGCAAGAGACAAAGCTGAATTTCCATGATTTTCATGCACTGCATTAAAAACAGACATGATTCTGTAGTGAAAATCACTGCTTGGGCTCTGTAATACTTCTGAAAACCATTGTCTGTGAACACAATTCGTCACTGTATCCACAAATGCAAGTTAAAACTCTACTATGCAATGAAAAAACAATATATAAACAGGATCCAGAAACATCGCCGTCTTCTTTGGGCCCAAACTCATTCAAGATGGACTGAGGTGAAGTAGAAATATGTCCTGTGGTCTGACAAATCAAAAATACCAAACACCTAGGTATTATTTTATATAATTTTGCTGTCTTGTGCATGTTTATAACCTTATTAGTTAGCATTTGTAATTTTATTAAAATCTCATTCTTTTACAGTTTTCTCAGTAATGCTAGAATCATCTACAGCCCTTCTTTCTGAACCCATCTATTTGAAATTGATGAAGCACAGTACTATAATTATATTAGAATAATTTTACCTGCAACATCATTATTAGTTTGGGTGGCCTGGATTTTACCTACATTTCCAGTCCCACCCTGTTGGGTGCTATTCTGCCTCCAAACACTGCTGGTAGTGGGAAACGTGTTAGATTGCAGATACAGCCATCATAATCCTGCATTCTGTCCTGATTTATTATTTATTATGCCAATTAAATGTGTGGGAGAATCCATTATTACATTTTTTAATTCACTGCAAATGTTTTCTAGTCTATCATACAAAGATGTCTACAGAGAGTTGTGTTCTTTATTTATTTATTTATTTTGGAGGCGTGCTTTCAAGGGTGACATAAATGTAAGTTATAAACGTGTTCATGTGTGAACATCATCTTCAAAAGGGTTTTGTCTTACTGCAAAAGGTATTGTATCTATCCATTGTAGATCAGTTTTTAACATCCTGTATTCCTTTTCTCCATTATAGAGATTCTCATTTCTTCTATTGATTTACTTTTCATGATAGATATTTATTTGATTATTTTTATTTGCATATATTTGAAGATTCATAATGTCATGAACTGTCTGAAGGTTCTATAATTGCTCTTTCTTGCATTTTATTTATGACCAGTCTCCTGACATGACTTCTGTCGCATCCTTTGACAATGCAACATTTATTCGTCCACCTACATTTTACATCAGTGGATTGTACAATGTGCCACATGCAAAGTATTACTATATATTTATGTGTTTTGTGTACGCTGTGACTGTTTTAGGGAATTCTTTTATAATGGGTACTATATATCTGGCACGTACTCTGCATACAGCAAAGCATATAGCTGTTTTCAACTTGGCCTTGTCTGATCTGTTTGGAAGCTCTGCTCTTATTCCAAAGTATGCAGATATGTTTCTGCGTGAGAACCAGTACATATCTTATGAAAACTGTCTGGCAAGCATGTTTTTTGTATATCTCTTTATGATCATGCAGTCCTTTACTCTGCTTGCTTTGTCCTTTGACAGAGTAATTGCTATATGTTTTCCTCTGAGGTATCATGCTATTGTCACCAAAACCACAATGACTCTGATCATTGGTGTTATGTGGATCATCTCTGCAACTATAATTGGTGTTTCTATAGTTCTGATTACCAGACTGTCCTTCTGTAGATCTACTACAGTGGGCAGTTATTTCTGTGATCATGGCCCTATCTTCAGACTAGCCTGTAATGATAATACTCCAAGTTACATAATGACCTATATCTATATCACTGTTGTGCTTTGCATTCCATTAACACTAATAGCTGTTTCATATGTTTGTATTGGTGTTGCACTGCTAAAGATCTCACACGGTGCAGAGCGAATTAAAGCTATGAAAACCTGCACTTCCCACCTCATATTAGTGGCCATGTTTTATCTACCCGTCTGTAGCATTTATATATCTGCTCTTACAACATATCTACATCCAAATACTAGAATTATTAACTCTGCCCTAACACAAACAATTCCACCTATGTTAAACCCCATCATATATACTCTGAAGACAGAGGAGGTATTGCAGTCTATTAAAGTACTCTACAAACGAATCAAGGTGAACTTTGCAATGGAAGATCCTGTGAAAAGTGTTGCAAAGAATTAAATGATGTAATAACTCTTGTTTGGTTTACTGTCATAAATCAAAGAACTTTCCCCTGTTTATTCACAGATTTTTTTTGTTTGTTTTTATTAGTAGTAATTTTATTGTTATTATTAAAATGATTTGTTGTTGAAAGACAACTTTTGAGATAACAAAAAAACAAAAAAACATGTGTGTATTCACATTTTATCTCTGCTTTCAACCTGAATCACAGGCAGAACAGAACAGACATTCAGTCACCATATTCTTTACTTTGAATGTTGCCACTTGATGTTATCCCCTATTTTAATATTATTGGTGGTATGTAAACATTGTTAATGCTTCAGAATGTCCATTTTCAGTTCATACAGACTATACATGCAAGCAAAGCTGCAAAAACAGCCCTTTTGATTTCACTGTGTTTGTGATGTCATGTAAACCAATTCATTTACACATATCCACCTATTTATGTATTGTAGGTAAGCCTCACCTGTTCAAAGTGAAATGTCTTTTATTACAGATGGGTTGAGAGGAACGGAATATAGTTTTTCCAGGACACAGTGCTACATTTAACATAG